AAAAAAAAAAAAAAAAAAAAAAAAAAAAAAAACAGAGACTGGCCTCCTGTTTCTGGGTTGCACATGTGGTGCCTTGGGGCACCAATATTCTTGGATTCTTTTGTTTTGGTTTTTTCTTGCAGCTGGCTGGTATGGGGATCTGAACTCTTGACCTTCATGTTATCAGCAACATGCTCCAACAAAGTGAGCTAATCAGCCAGCACCTGTTCTCAGATTCTGATTGGTGTCTAGTCATTCTAGAACTCTATTTATTCCTCCATCTGCTCGGCAAGCCAGATTTTTTTTTTTTAAAGATGACCGGTAAGGGGATTTTAACCCTTGGCTTGGTGTTGTCAGCATCACGCTCAGCCAGTGAGCTAACCGGACATCCCTATATGGGACCCAAACCCGTGGCCTTGGTGTTATCAGCACCACACTCTCCCAAGTGAGCCACGGGCCGGCCCCTAAGCCAGATTTTTCAAGAGCGCCTTGCCTGCGGTGCTCTGTGGCTACAGCAGAAATACAGTCAGCCTTGGCATTCGGAGGATCCCTCAGAGAATTCTGATTCAGGAATTTGGGGATGTTTGTCCAAGCTGCTGTCCCCCAAGCACATTTCCATGTGGCGTGGTGTGCTTCCTGTGCATTGCCACCCTCCGGAAGTAAACTGCCTGTTAGCACAGTTTTCTCTCCCACAGAGAAACCCTGTTGTTACCGTTTCTCAGGGGTTACTACTTTCAAGTGACAAGGCTGTGTTAAGCTCTTTCCCCTGGCAGACTGTTGGGCTCGCTCAGCCGGGGGATTCCTCCCACATCTAAGATTCCCAGCTGACATTATTCATAGCTGAAGGTCAGCAGAATAACAACTTGTCACGTGTCATGACCAACCAGGGTTGGCCTTAGAAAGTCAGAACAGCAACTATTAAATCTGGAAATGCCAGGGCTTTGCTGTGGAAAACCCGGTTCCCACACCTGAATGATGAGGTTAGGGTGATGAGAAAGTAGAAAATATAGCATTAAATAGTCCCAGTAATCTTCAAATCCCTTTTCTCTCTGGGCCTCAGTTTTTCCACCTATAAAATAAGGAAGATGAACTAGATGATCTTTAAAAGTACTTCCAGCTCACTCAAGTTCCGATCAGTGAGGCATGTCCAATAGGGTGTATTCAGGGATGAGTCAGGGAATACTTCCTGTAGGAGATGAGTCTTGAGGCAAGAGAAGAAAGATCAATTCAGAAGGATCAAGAGTGAAAGTGCAACTACATTGTATATTGACAAAATAAAAATAAAAAAAAATAAATAAATAAATAAAATGTAAAAAAAAATAAATAAAATTTAAAAATTTTAAAAAATTTTAATTCAGAAGGATCAAGAGTGAAAGTGCAACTACATTGTATATTGACAAAATAAAAATAAAATAAATAAATAAATAAATAAAACGTAAAAAAAAATAAATAAAATTAAAAAATTTTAAAAAATTAAAAAAAAAAAGAGTGAAAGTGCAAAGGCCAGGTTGAGCCAGTGAGATACTGGGAGTGAGCTGATGGACTGCCAGAGGACAGCGAAGTACACATTATGGAGTTGTCAGTGATAAGGGAGTTGCCAAAGTGGGGTGGGAATATCAGTGCCAACCTCTGGGATTTGGGCCTACTCCTAAAGAAAGTGGGAGCCATGGCAGATCTTAGAGCAGAGGAGTGACTTCATGAGTGGGTCTTCTCTCTCTCAGGTGCAGACACGCAGCGCTGATGAACCCATGACCACCTTTGTTTTATGCAATGAATGTGGCAATCGCTGGAAGGTCTGTATGTCTGTATCTTTCTCCCTCCCCTGACATCCACAGACCCTGCCCCACATAAGGAGTAGTATACTGACAGCCTGAAGGGGCCTGGTGCATAAGAGGCTTGCCAGCCTACACAGAGTAGGCCTGCAGAGTCAGAGATAGTGGTGGGCTGTTGCTGGGGAGGTGGGAAGAGAGTGCATGTGCATGTTTTAGTTTCAGAAGGGCACCCAGCTGGGGTGGGGGCAGCAGCCCACATTTTGTCACGGGATGGGCAAGTCTGTCATTTCAGCACAGATGGAATTGGCTTCCTGAGATCCACAGAGGGGAGGAAAAACAATAGCACTATGCATTTGGACCACACCTCTTTGCAAAATGCTTTCACAGATGGTTTTCCTTCAAATCTGGCTGGCCACAGCCAGGGATGATAGACAGGCAGGCTGAGACCTGTCAGAGGGGAGTTGCCCCCAAATGCTCCCAAGTCATCCTCCCCTTCTAAGGCAGCTCTGAAAAAGCCTTACATTACCCAAGGCTGTAACCCAGGCTTCTCCAGCTCCTGCAAAGGCAAAGGTTTTGTATTCAGGCATGGGAGCCAAGCAAAGACTCCTCCCAGAGTGCTCCTTCCTGCCACATCTCCTGAAAGAACTGGCTGTCGTGATGTGATGAATGTGTTTCCAGTGCCATCTGACTTGCACGTGTGCTGTGTGATGTCTGGGCCACCAGGCAGGCTACAGGTGCTCCAAAAGTTCTAAGGTACTTAGCAAGGAGTCTAAGACTGAACATGGAACTGGGAGTCTAGAGCCCCGGCTTCAGGTCCCATTCTGCTCTATTTGCTTTGAGCATGTCACTCACCTCCCTGAGCAAAAGGGTGATGATAATGCCTTTCTCCCAGGGTTGATGTGATGATGATGATGATGATGATGATGATAGTGAGTGGTGTCTGGCTAGTACAGGGATCCAAACCTTTGACCTTGGTGTTACAAGGCTGTGCTCTAACCAACTGAGCTAACTGGCCATCCCCTATGTGAAGATTATTTTGATGTGAGGATTATTATTTTGTGAACAACTACAAGAAGTATTCCTTTATAATATTATTCTTTTAGGCTGGCCGGTTAGCTCAATTGGTTAGATCCTGGAGCTGATGACACCAAGGTCCAGGGTTCAATCCTTGTACCAGCTAGCTGCCAAAAAAAAAACAAAAAACAAAGGATAATATTCTCAGTTTCAGACGAGGAAATTGAGCTACAGAAATAAAAACAGTAAGCGTAAAGTCACACAGTTTGGAGCACTGAAAGACAATGCTCCAAATTTCTGTTCAATTTATTTTTCTTACTAAAGAACTTGATAGCCCTTACTGGGGCATCATTAAAACTACCTTCTTTTTTTTTAAAGATGACTGGTAAGGGGATCTTAACCCTTGACTTCGTGTTGTCAGCATCACTTCTTTTTTTTTAAAGATGACTGGTAAGGGGATCTTAACCCTTGACTTCGTGTTGTCAGCACCTCGCTCTCCCAAGTGAGCCATGGGCCGGCCTAGAACTACCATATTTTTAAAGTAAAAGCCAGACAGCTATGTACTTTTCCTTTATTCACTTATGGAGCACTTAAGCATAGGGTCAGTAGAGTAGCGTAGTGGTCTAGAACATGGGCCACTTTGCCATGAGGTTCAAATCCTAGCTTTACCACTTACCAAGTGGCTTACCTAAGTGCTCTAGGCCTGGATTTCCTCATCTCTAAAATGGGTGTATTAATATCTAGCCCATAGAACTGTTTTGAGGATTAGAGAAGGTAATACATGTTAAGTATTAACAGGGCCTCTGATAGCTCACGTGGCATCTTTGTCAAATTAGAAAAAGTTGTCCCTTCCTCCAGGCAGACACAGCCTTGTGCCAGGGTACAGAGCAAACAGAGCATGGGTTGAGTTTCGGCTTCAACTTGCCCCTTTGACCAGGCTTTTTTGTGAAGTAAACAATTTGTACAACCATACGAAAAAAGCACATATATTCCTGGTACATAAATACCACTATTCTTACTCTTTTGAGTGTCATCTACTAGTTTTATGGGAGTTTGGGCACCATTGCAATGGGGGAAACTTAAAGTCTAACCAAGTGATTAGTAATAATCACAGTGATGTTCTCAACCATAAATTGGGAGCCCACCCCGTACCTGGCATTGAATTGCCATTCATTTGTTACCACACTCACCAGCATTATGATCCCATTTTACAGATGAGTGATTTGCTCTAGGGCACACAGCCAATAATGGCAGAGCTGGGGTTTGGACTCTAGTCTGTGTGGCTTCAGACCCCACCTTCTGTTTCATGTTCCTCCATAGCCTCCTTGGATGATGCAGGGAAACCTCTCAAATTGTTGCCTTTTTGGTTTTGTAGTTCTGCTGAAGGAGCAGCTGGCCAGGATTGCAGTGAACAAGGTGAGGAAGAACAGAAAGGAAGCACTAAACTGTCTAAACTGGAGAAACAATAAAAATTAAAATGAAGAAAAATACTGAACGGTAAATGGGATGGTAGGAATTCTTTTGCAAATTAATAACAATTGGCTAATAAGGGGGGGCCTAACTGGGGTATGATGCTAAGAATCTGTGTTGACAGACCTCTTGTAGAAACTCAGAGACTGGGCCGGCCCGGTGGCGCACTCGGTAGAGTGTGGTGCTTGGGAGCGCAGCGGCCCTCCCACTGAGGGTTCGGATCCCATATAGAGACCAGTCCGCTCACTGGTTGAGCGCGGTGCGGGCGCGACACCGAGGGTTGCGATCCCGTTACCGGTCACGAAAAAAGACAAAAAGGAAAAAAAAAAAAAAAGAAACTCAGAGACTTCAGAGCCTCAGACTTGAGGTGTTTTATCTTTGAAAGTGGGATAGCGGACCTTTGCTTTGAGTTCCTTCCCTCGCATTTGAACTCTCAGCCTTTCCTGAAGTGAAAAATGCCAGGTTGACACAAACTTTACCCCATCCCACCCCAGAATTCCTTGTGCAGAATAGTTGATACTGTTTGGCTTTGGCAGATACAACTTGTACACCATGTAGAAAGACTTCTTTCCAACTCCCTGTTTTTTTCCAAACTCTCTGCTATTCCCTGTTCACTGATGGCTCTGGGGGCCTTTGAGGACTTGAGACCAGGTCCCTCTAGGGAGGGAACGGATCCTCTTGAGCTCAGGCTTTCTGAATGAAGATTATAAGCAGTGTCCCAACTTCCATGGCAGCTTGGAGGTCCTCAGCCTCGGAGCCCACCCAGGCCCTAGCAATGTGTTCTTTACAGCTCCATCTGTGGTCTGAACTTCAGAGGAAGTCTGCAGAGCACAGGGACCTCGTCATGCATCTCCAATGATGATATCAGCTTGCTTTTTATGATGATAGGAACTTTAGGCAAAGATGAAAACTTCTAGAAAAGCCTTAGGGCAGCTGTAGGGGTAACTACAGCCTGAGTTCCTGATATACCCTGGGCATCATCCACTCTGGAGTTGGTTACTGTCTTCTTCCATCCATCGAGTGCCTTCTGCTACAGGTAAAGTCTGTAAATAAACTATGTACAGGGCTGGCTGGTTAGTTCAGCTGGTTAGAGTATGGTGTCATAACACCAAGGTCAAGGGTTTGGATCCCCACACCAGACAGCCACCAAAAATTTTTTTAAAAAATAAACTATTTACAGAAATCTGCCACCATCTTCAGCTTTTAAACAATTAGATTTGGGATGGGTCCCTTGGAAAGACTGAAAATCCTCTCACAGAAAATACAACACACATGGCTCATAAATGGCAGAACCAGGACTGAAATCCACATCTTCTGTTTCCTGTCATTGTGCTTAATGCTATAAGAGATCCAGAGCTATACACCATGCGCAGCCCCTACCTTCCAGGAATTCACAGCATGGCAGGGAAAGAAACCATAGGCACAGGCTTCCATACCAGATGGGATGTGATAAATGCCACAGTTGAGGTACGAATATTATCTGCAGAAGTGCAGAGGGAGGTTGCGTAGAAACCCAGGTGTTTCCTAAACTTTAATATGGGTGGGAATCCCCTGGAGATCATGCTAAAGTGCAGATTCTAATTCTATGGGTCTGGGGTGGAGCCTGAGATTTTTATTTCCAACAAGCTCCCAGGTGATACCAATGCTGCTGGTCCACAGACCACACTCTGAGGAGTAAGGGTTTAGCCATCCAGATTTTTCTCTGCACTACCTAACCCTACATCCAAATGTCTAGAAGCCAAAAGCAAAACAAAATAGCAATGAGTGTCAATTTAATAATGTCAATAAAGGTTACTTTTGGGTGAATTTTTAAAAGGTGACACCCTGGGGCAATTTTCACTAGTCACGGTCTAAATATCCATGTGTTCATGGTGTCATAGGGATTTAAAACATAGGAAAAAAATAAAACTGAATCTCCACCCTCAATAACCTTACTTTTTTCCAAGGAGATGAGTCAGATTAAACAGCAAAAGAACAAGTCGGCTCAAGTCCACACATCTATACAGAACACGTCTACTTCACAAAAGGACACAGAAAAGCATGAATAGTCTACAGACTGCATTCATCAGCAGGAGTCAATACCCTCCCAATGGGTCTTCCTTTGGCCACACTGACCCGCCCAAATCCATGCTCTCCTCTGCAACTGACCAGAATAGGCTTTTCAGAATTGCAAATCTGGTCATGTTAGTCCCCCACTCTCCCACTCCCATTGAAAACCTTCCATTTTTTTCCCTTGCCCTTGGCAGGGCCTACAAGGCCCCACAGGGCTGGCCTCTGCCTCGCCCCTGCACTTTGTGCTCCAGCCATGTTGGCCCTCCCTCAGGTCTTTGTGGCATGCTGTGTCCCTCCTTGTCACCGGATCTTTCCACATGCTGCTGGCTGGAACACATGGTTTAACCCTATCTGTTCCTTCATATTACAGATGAAGAGGGTGTGAACTATAAGCGAGTTAGCATTAACTTTTGCCACCCAGGAAGACTTCCTAGGGGAGGGAGATTATTACCTTACAGGAGGAAAAAGACAAGCTTAGGTGAGGAGAAACAGTGGCAATGTGCTTGGCATGAAGGAGAGAAGGTCACACAGCAATGCTGTGGCCAAGAGACCTTGAAAACAAAAGTCCGGGCCGGCCCGGTGGCGCAGTGCTACAGTGCACTGCTTGGGAGCGCGGTGGCGCTCCCGCCTAGGGCTCGGATCCCACATACAGACCGGTTCCCGCTCACTGGCTGAGCGAGGTGCGGGCGCAACACTGAGGGTTGCGATCCCGTTGCCAGACACGAAAAAAGACAAAAAGGAAAAAAAAAAAAAAAGAAAACAAAAGTCCACTCAAGATCCTACAACCAATTTATACAATATTTTCAAAAGGTTACAGGAGCCTAAAAGCCTATATAGAATGAGAAGTCTTGTTAATAGCCTCATCCAGACTGCTCTGTCTTTAGTCCTGATTTTTCTTTAGCTTAAGACTTGCATCACCAAGTGCCTGTTTGGATATCTCCTCCCAAGTACTCTGCTGGCACTCAGTACAATTAATCTGAAACTGAACTCACATCTTCTCTTTCTTGAGTCTCCTCTCCTGTTTTCTCTATTTCTGTGAACTAGTTCATTCCTTAGACCCCGCTGTGACTTTTTTCCTTGCCCTCTTCACTTTATCAGTTACTAATTCTACAGTCTCTCCCTTGTTCCCTTGTTCAATCTTTCTCTCCACTGCTACCAACATTAACATTGTTTTTTGGGTTTTTTTTTTTTTTTAAAGATGACCGGTAAAGGGATCTCAACCCTTAGCTTGGTGTTGACAACACCACGCTCAGCCAGTGAGCGAACCGGCCATCCCTATGTAGGATCCGAACCCGTGGCCTTGGTGTTATCAGCACCGCACTCTCCCGAGTGAGCCACGGGCCGGCCCTTTTGTTTTGTTTTGTTTTTCACTTTTTTTTGGCAGCGGGCATATACAGGATCAAACCCTGGACCTCGGTGTTATCATCACCATGCTCTAACCAACTGAGCTAACTGGCTAGCCAAGGTTTTCTTTTTTCTAGGACTGGTGCAAAGGCCTTCTACTGGTCTCCCAACTCAAAACACTCCCTATCCTACCTGTAAGGCTCAGAGCATCATTTTCCCCCATCATCTTCAGCAGATTTCTACCAGCTATCAAATAAAATTCAACCTCCTTGGTTTGGCTTTCAAAGCTGCCCTCTGCCTGTTTGTTTGTTTTGGTTTTTGAGGGGCTTGAAGGCTTTTATTTGTCTGACTGGTCTGGTGAACACTTGCGCCCTGCCTGTCTTTGGTGGTTCATCTTCCACCCCTGCTGCCCTTTGTGCTCAGCCTAAGGGAGGTATTTGCCCTGTTCTTGAATATGCAATGGGCCTTCCCACCTCTGACTGCTTATTTTGCTTCCTCTTCCATAGCCTGGTCTACATCCTCCCCATTCTTCAAGGCTCAGATGCACATCTTCTGTGAAGTCTCTGGTCCCCTGGCAACATGAGACAGTTCCAGAGAATTCAAACAGCACTGTGAAACCTCCCAGCACACGTTGCTTTCTACCATGGCAATGATGACTCCTTTAATATTTCTTTGACGATGTCGATAATGTCTATTAAATTTTTTTTACAATTTATTTATTTTTAATTTTTTAAATTGATTATACATATTTTGGGGGTTCAACACTGACATATGTTGATCAAATCAATATTATTAGCATATACATTATTACAAATCCTACTTATTCTTTATGCCCCTTTTCCAATCTCTCCCCATCCCTGTCTTCCTCCCGCTTCCACCTCTGATAACCATAGATTTCTTCTCTCCTTCTGAAAGAGTAATGGTTACTCTACTGATTTGTTGCCTAGATGATCTGTCCAGTGCTGAAGAGGTGTGTTCAGGTCCCCCTCTATTATCATAGAGTAGATGCTTCTTCTGTAACTCTGGAATGGGCTTTGTGGAGAGAGACATCCTCTTTTCTTTGGTCTCTGTTGTTTACTCTCTTTGCGTCAATGCACTTGAGTGGCTTGCAGGACATCTACACAGTGATTGGCGCGACACCAAGGGTTGCGATCCCGTTATCGGTCACGAAAAAAGACAAAAAGGAAAAAAAAAGAAGAAAAAGAAAAAGATGACAAATAGGATTATAAACATTGAGGTGTATTTTTATTTATTTATTTATTTATTTTCACTGGCCAGTACAGCTTCTGAAAGAGTAATGGTTACTCTACTGATTTGTTGCCTAGATGATCTGTCCAGTGCTGAAGAGGTGTGTTCAGGTCCCCCTCTATTATCATAGAGTAGATGCTTCTTCTGTAACTCTGGAATGGGCTTTGTGGAGAGAGACATCCTCTTTTCTTTGGTCTCTGTTGTTTACTCTCTTTGCGTCAATGCACTTGAGTGGCTTGCAGGACATCTACACAGTGATTGTGGTGTCTAGCCACTTTTGTGGCAGCCGTGGCTATTGTGGTGGATGTGGTTGCCCCCCCCCCCGGAAGTGGTGTTTGTGGCGTGCTCCTTGCCTGGATGCAGAAGGAGGGATCAGTCTCGGATCCATGCCTCAGCACCCCAGGTGGGCCCCGTGGCAGCAGTGAGTGGCATGTCAAGGCACGTTTTTAAATATCTAACAAATTAATGCTTCTGATACAAAAAAATTACAACATAATTGTGCTGCTCACAAGATAATTATAGGATTTATTAAAATATAATAACTTGCAGTGCTCCACAGGCACGGTGGTCTGGTAATAGGACACAAGTTTAAGAATATACAGAGAGGGTTTTTGATCAAATTAACCAGTAGCTCCAATATAATGTATAATCTCATTTGGAGGTAATGTCAAAAGCCTAAATTGGAGACCCTGGCCAAATGGCTCTCCTGGCCCCTTTCCCTAGTGATAGGCTGTTCTGCTGCCTCTGCATACAGTAGGTGCTCACTGTTTGCTGGATGATGGGAACAAACAATACCTTCCAAGTTCATTACTGAAAACCCACATAGAATAAGTATTCCTGAGAAACACCAAAGTCCTGAACAATGGGGCAGGAAGCCACCTCCTCCTCCAGTGACCCCAGCCCTCAGAGTCCAGCTGAAGGCTGCAACAGGAAGCCCATCAGCCACTGTCTTTCCTCCCCCTTTTCCCCACTCCCCCCGGGGGCTATAAATGCAGTCATGCTTTCCATCTGCTCTCAGCCTCTCTTCTCCACCCTCTTGGAGGGTCTCAGGTGAAGAAAGAAAAGAGTACTTACAGAAGAAGGCAAGCAGCCAACCGGGCTTGGAGAGCTGTCCTGCCCCCAGGCAGGCCTGAGGAATAAAAGAAACAGTGAGAGCACAAAGAAGGGCTTAAAGCACTGCAGCAAGGGGAGAAAAGGGCCTAAGAAAATTTACAAAGCAATCTGTCAGAGAAGGGATGAAAAGGGAGCTGTGCAGGGCTGAGGGCCTCAAGCCTCAAGCCCTCATCTCACCTCAGGCCCAGTTAGAAACCTGCAATTGCTCAGCCCAAAGTCTGAACCAGTCCCCCTCCTCCTTGTTCCAAGGAGTTTGGTTATTAACCCCTGACCCAGAGGTTTCAACTTGCTGGGTTTGAGGTGTGAGGCTTCATCTTGCTGGGTTTCTGGCAGCCCCAAGGACCTCTCCTCTACTAGGCTCAACACACCATTCACTTGAACCCACCACCAAACTGGCCCAACTTCCAGCTCTGTCTGAATTTCCTGCAGAAACACAATATGAGGATAAGGTCACCCACAGATCCACACAGCTATTGAGTCACTTTGATTTCCCAGATTTTCTGAGCAATTGAATATGCCCATAGGCCTTTCTAGAAATCTCCCCTGCCACCAAAGGTAGGATTAATAACAACAGAGTGCTCACTCTGTGCAGAGTGCTTTATGTCACCTCACTTAGTCCTCACATCCTTAGGTATTATTATCCCCATTTTACAGAAAGGGAAATGGGCCTGGAGACATTAATGACTTTCCAAAGGATACACAGCCTGGATTCCAACCCAGGTCCGCCTGACCTTGATGTCCACATTCTTTCTGCTACGGATACTGCCTCTTGGGAATCCTCCAGGATTCCATTTTATGTGGTGCCCAAATCAACTTTAGGTGGGGTAGGATGGTACAATTTTGTGGCATCTAAAGAATTCCTAGCCCACAGCTGGGGTTGGGAAGGGGAGTAGGAGTGAGAGAGTCTGTATTATGGCTGAATAGGGTCCTACCAGTTCTTCTTTTTAGACACTTGAGTAATTTAACCATAAATAACTGGGCACTGGGAACAGGACACTCACTAATAAAAGCATGACCTGGAGTAATGTTTGAAAAAAAAAAAATTCAAGTCCCTTAGTGGGTGGATGTATCTGCAAAACAAAAGAAAAGCCCCTTTCCCAGCCCAGGCAGAGAAGTCTCCTGTACAGTTAAAGACAACAGGCTTCCGGGCACGTAGCCAAGGTTCTGGGGATATTTATAACTTGAAGAGGGTGGGAGTCCCTAATAAGCTGCTATATTCTTTTTCCATCACTTCCCTCTCCAAGGCTACAGTGAGCTAGAAGCTCTTCCCCACGCAGAATGCCTGCTTTCCCTAGTGTTCGACTTCCATTGTCTAATTCCTTCACCCTGGCTGGGGAAAGGGAAGGCTGCAAGTCCTTCCGTTCAGAGGAACTCCAGCTGAATGCAGCTTAGCTGCTGGTGGTATTTCTTGGCCAGCTGCTGTGGTCTCAGGGATCTGCCTATGAGCCTGTGGTTTCTGAGCTGCCTGTGAGTCTGAGGTCTCCGGAATCTGAGAGTCTTCGGGATCAGTCTACGATCTCATTTTGCCTGCAAGTCTACGGATTCGAGATCGACCTGCAGGTCTGAGATCTCCGGGACCTGCCAGTGATCTCTAGACTCTTTCCGAACGTCAGAGGTCTGAAAGGACTCTGTCTGCGGCTTTGGGATCAGTTTAAGGCCTCTCGGATGTTGGAGCCTGTGAGCTAGTGGATCATTTGCGGTCAGGAGGTATGTCTGTTCGTTCCCAACTCGGGTTTTCGGCCTCCTACCTTCAGCCGAACAGGGACAGCTCACATCCCGAGGTCCTGCGCGGCTCAGGCCCTGAGAAGTCCAGGGTCCCTTCGGCGCGGTAGGCCTGCGGGAACCCTATTAGCAGACAAGCCCTCTGGGATGAAAAGGACGGCCAGACCCCGCCCTGAGACCTGGCCATCTCCTCCTCAAGCACCCGATCCCCCATCCCGTTTCTGATTTCCCTCAGGGTTTTCGCTTCCCGTCAGCTGAGCACAGCTCAGTCCGCCTCTCAAGGGGCGCTTTCTTTAGAAGGACACAGTCGGACACCCCTATAGGGTTAATAGCGTTGGAGCCGGGACACCGCCAAGCCCAGCCGCAGTCCACACTCGCGAGGCGGACGGGCGGCGCGGGGCCTCCTGGGAGTCGTAGTCTGCGTGGCAGGGTGCGAACGCCGCAGAGACTGCTGGGAGATGTAGTGCGTGGGCGGGGCTCAAAGTTCCCTTCGGCCTCCGAGTCTTCCCTGGGGAGTGGGCGGCTGCCGCTTTTCTCTCTTGCCTGGGCTGTCAGATGAGGGCTAATCCCAGCGGAGCTCAGCACAGGCCAGCACTTAAATTAGGTCCGACATCGCGGATAATAAGGTCTGACTCAAAGGAAGCTTCTAGGGATGTGAGGAGAAGCAGGGCAATCTAGCTGATTTAAACAGACTATGGTCTCCAAGAGCAGAAAGCGGGAGATACTCCAGCTTCTAGGGATGTGAGGAGAAGCAGGGCAATCTAGCTGATTTAAACAGACTATGGTCTCCCAGAGCAGAAAGCGGGAGATACTCTGCCCTGTCTCGGAGGACGCGCTTCCTTCTCCACCCTTTTGTTCTTTTCCCTCCTCGGATCTGGCCTCACTGGCTTTTGTACGCCGGGATGGAACACCAATTCCCGGCAGCCACGGGGGCAGCGCAGGCGCGATGGAGGAGTTCGGCCACGCTGCAGGAGGCGGGCCTAGGGCTCGGCATCTAATTGGCAGAGCGTTCTCCGAGCTTTGCTCGCTGATTGGCCGAGGCAGCTGCCGGAAAGGACCCAGCCTCGACATGGAAGAGCAGAGGCGTTCTGTGGGCTGGGCTGAGAGCCTCCTCCCCCAGACAGCATCAGCCTGACCCCCCCGCCCCGAAGGGGCCCAGCCAGGGGGCTGTCCTAGTAGATTCCAGCATTGCCTCCACCCCGTGGTGGCGGAGACACAGAGGGAGGGTTGGGCTCGGGGGTCAGAGAGGGGAGTGACGCGTCCCGGGTTCAGGGACCTCCCCGCCCGCCTTGCGGCCAGAACTCCAGCCCTGGGGAGTGGGCAGGGCCTGTTGTACCGTGCCTCACGCCCTGCTTTTCGCCTCCTTCAGCGCTGTCTGCTGTCTGCTTTTCCTGCCCTTTCTCCCTGGAGGCGAACCCTTTTGCCCGCGATGGCAGCCACCCTGCTCATGGCTGGGTCCCAGGTAAGCTGGGGGTGGCTTCTTGGACCTTGCCTCTGCTTACCCACCTCGTCTGTCATTTGTCTGCTCTGCAAACTCCTGTGGGAAATTCTCTGGGATTAGTAATTCGTTCGCTTGAGTTTTCTGCCTTCAGGGGCCTAGTACCAGGCCATTATAGCCACATACAAGCATATACCGAACACCTGCTGTATGCATTTAAGTACTGGGGGGGGGGGTAAAAGAAGGACGAGACCGGCGCTACCCGCCTGCTTACAATCTGCAAGGAGAAAGACGCATCCGGTTAACCGTGACACAATGTGATAAATGCTCTATTTGCTATAGGAATAAAATGCTGTGGTGTAGGAACCAAGAAGTGGGAGTAATAAATTCCATCTGGGGCATAACAGCTAGGAGCGGAGCAGAGGGGTGGAGGGCACTGAAGAAACAGTCGGTACTGGAGCAGGACCACAAAGAATAGTAGAATTTCACTAGTCTGAGAAAGATATTTTAGGAAGAGAGTAACATTGTGAGTAAAGGTATGGAGTGATGTAAGTGCTAAAAGGGTTCTGAGAAAGGCATGCCTAGAGGATAAGGTTCCCCAAGTGGGGCAGGGATCTTTGGTTATTGGACCAGAGCAGTCAGCTCATAAATTGTTCCCTTCTTTTCCACATCTCTTTTTCGTTTGTTTATTTCTTCTTTGGATTCTGCAGATTAGACTTAATACATTTTGCCTCCTCAATATTTCTAACCATGTCTCTAATTTCAAGAAGAAAAACTGGTACTAACCTCCTAGATACGAAGTAATGAGGAAGCATTGTGTGATTTCAGGCACCTGTGACATTTGAAGATATGGCCATGTACCTCACCCGAGAAGAATGGAGACCTCTGGACCCTACACAAAGGGACCTATACAGGGATGTTATGCAGGAGAATTATGGAAATGTTGTCTCATTAGGTAAGGATTCTACCTTTCTTCACCCCCACATTTTTGAGACTGTGTCAAAATAGCTTAGCTCTTTCGACACAGCTTAGTTGATGTTTTTAAAGCACTTAATTGGATATTGGCTTGAGTTGAGTCCTCAGGCAAATCTTTGTGGGTATTTTTGTTTTTAAAGATGACCGGTAAGGAGATCTTAACCCTTGACTTGGTGTTGTCAGCACCACGCTCTCCCAAGTGAGCTAACCAGCCATCCCTATATAGGGATCCAAACCCATGGCCTTGGTGTTAACAGCATCACACTCTCCCAAGTGAGCCACGGGCTGGCCCTTCAGGCAAATCTTTGAATATGGGAACGTCCACGTCATACTGTCTAAAAAGAAAAAAATGTTTCTGCACGTTTCAGAAACATTCAGATTTCTTGTTCCCTGAGTCATTTGCCATTCTCCAGCCTGTTTGTACAGATCACTGACCAAACAGGTCTGACATAATGGTGCTTGCCAGGATATAAATGCCCCTGTAAATGGTGCTTTCACTCTAGGGCACTAGAAGATGAGGGAGTTCTGACCCAGGTTCATGGGAAGGCAAAAGACAGCTTTTTGTGTTTATTTTGGCTTCAGATCCCTAGCTTTATCTTGAGTTCTTTATCTGAGTAGGTTCTTGTCTAGATATTTTTCAGAGTTGATTATAGATTTTGATTGTGTCAGATGTTGTCCCAGAAGAATCCTGAAATAGTGAGATCACAAATTCTATTAGAGGGCAACCTGGTTTTTTTTTTTTTCATGGTTTGCAAAGTTGTCATGTCTCTTAGCTATACTTTGTTGTGGATGTAACTAAAACAAACAGTATATTCTCGAGCTGGAGTCTTTTGACTCACTTTGTCTCCTGTTAAGACTTGACAGAAGTTAGCAAGCTTGCATGGTTCATTAGGTCCTCTGCCACTCATTAGGACTAATACTTTTGTTGAAATCTTTATTCCATAGGGGCTGGCCCGGTGGCGCACTGCTACAGTGCACCGCTTGGGAGCGCGGCGGCGCTCCCTCCGAGGGTTCGGATCCCACATACAGACCAGTTCCCGCTCACTGGCTGAGCGAGGTGCGGACGCGACGTCGAGGGTTGCGATCCCGTTGCCGGTCCCAGTCCGGTACGGGCGCGACACTGAGGGTTGCAATCCGTTGCCGGACACGAAAAAAGACAAAAAAAAGGAAAAAAAAAAAAAAAATCTTTATTCCATAGCTTTTCACAGAACAAAAGATGACTCTGAGGGCTTTCCTTTTCAAATTGGACTTTCTCTGATGTCCCAAGTTTCTTGGATCCTTCCTTTAGAAAAGCAACCATAAATAAAGTTATCTACCCACATCTATTGCAGTCTATAGCCCAAGTATTCCACTCAATCCAACAAAAAACAAGAAATGAGAATTTTAAAAAATGTAAATTTATATTCCTATAGCCCAAGGAGCATTTGCAGAAGGATGGAAGCACCAGAAAACTGGTTTCTTTTTTTTTCTTTTTTTTTTTTTTAAAGGGATGACCGGTAAGGGGATCTTAACCCTTGACTTGGTGTTGTCAGCACCACGCCCAGCCAGTGAGCGAACCGGCCATCCCTACATGGGATCCGAACCCTTGGCCTTGGTGTTATCAACACCACAGTCTCCCAAGTGAGCCACGGGCTGGCCCTTCATTAGTAGATCTTATATGATGCTAATGATGAAAGCTTGACAAGTTAAAAAAAAAAAAAAAAAAAAAAAAAAAAAAAACACATACACATATAAAATTTCAAGGCTCTAGGCTGTTAGAGATTCTAATTTAGAGTCTCTTATGTTTTCCATTTCTGGTTGTTTTCTTCTTTCAAAATGCTAGGAATATGCAGTTTTCTTAAAGAACCATTAACTATAGTGACATAGAGCTTGACCTTTTTATCAGACACACCTGGGTTTGAAACCTGGCTCTATCATTTACTGCTTTAACCTTAGGCAAGTTATTTCTCTTGTCTGGATTTTGGATTTCTCATTCATAAAATATACTGCCTGACTCTCAGGATGGTTGTGATAATGAATAAAGTGATTCATATAAAGAATTTAGTATAGTGCCTAGCACATAGTAGATAATTGTTTTGTGCATTTACCAATCTTATTATTACTTACTGTTTCTTACAGATTTTGAGATCAGGAGTGAGAACGAGGTGAATCCAAAGCAAGAGATTAGTGAAGATGTAGAATTTGGGACCACATCTGAAAGACCTGTTAGGAATGCTGAGGAAAATCCTGAAAGTGAAGAGGCCTTTGAAAGTGGGGATAGGTCAGAAAGACAGTGGGGAGATTTAACAGCAGAAGAGTGGGTAAGCTATCCTCTCCAGCAAGTCACTGATCTGCTTGCCCAGAAAGAAGTCCACACAGGCATCCGATATCATATATGCTCTCATTGTGGAAAGGCCTTCAGTCAGATCTCAGACCTTAATCGACATCAGAAAACCCACACTGGAGATAGACCCTATAAGTGTTATGAATGTGGAAAGGGCTTCAGTCGTAGCTCACACCTTATTCAGCATCAGAGAACACATACTGGAGAGAGACCCTATGACTGTAATGAGTGTGGGAAAAGTTTTGGAAGAAGCTCTCACCTCATTCAGCATCAGACAATCCACACTGGAGAGAAGCCTCACAAATGTAATGAGTGTGGGAAAAGTTTCTGCCGGCTCTCTCACCTCATCCAGCACCAAAGGACACACAGTGGGGAGAAACCCTATGAGTGCGAGGAGTGTGGGAAAAGTTTCAGCCGGAGCTCTCACCTAGCTCAGCACCAAAGGACCCACACAGGTGAGAAGCCTTATGAGTGTAACGAATGTGGGCGAGGCTTCAGTGAGAGATCTGATCTCATCAAACACTATCGAGTCCACACAGGAGAGAGGCCCTACAAGTGTGATGAGTGTGGGAAGAATTTTAGTCAGAACTCTGACCTTGTGCGCCATCGCAGAGCCCATACGGGAGAAAAACCATACCACTGTAATGAATGTGGGGAGAATTTCAGCCGCATCTCACATTTGGTTCAGCACCAGAGAACCCACACTGGAGAGAAGCCATATGAATGCAATGCTTGTGGGAAAAGCTTCAGCCGGAGCTCTCATCTCATCACGCACCAGAAAATTCACACTGGAGAAAAGCCCTACGAGTGTAACGAATGTTGGCGAAGCTTTGGTGAAAGGTCAGATCTAATTAAACACCAGAGAACCCACACAGGAGAGAAGCCCTACGAGTGTGTGCAGTGTGGAAAAGGTTTTACCCAGAGCTCCAACCTCATCACACATCAAAGAGTTCATACGGGAGAGAAGCCTTATGAATGTACCGAATGCGAAAAGAGTTTCAGCCGGAGCTCAGCTCTTATTAAACATAAGCGAGTTCATACTGACTAAGTCCTGTAATTATGATTGAGAAATGATTCATTTGAAGGTACAATTTTATTTGCTATCAGTGAGCTCCCTCATGACTGAGCTTCTTTTACTGTACTGACTTTCCTAGTTGTGGGCCACAATTTAAAACATCAAAGAAGACAAGCCATTTGAAATTCTGACCCACGGCTTTGAGAACTTTATCCCTTCCTCCAAGATAGTGATTTTTCTTCACTATATATTAAAGGATTACTTCCGCAAAATCAGCCCCACAAGTAACTGGAAATCTGAAGACCAGGGAACAAATGCTGGTAAATGCCCAGGGCTGGAAATGGAGTAAATCTTTAAAAGTTTTTTCTCCCATCCTTGGCCCAAAGAACTGTGCTGGGGGACTGTAATAGGCTAGTTACAGCTGCTTTGCAAGAAGGCAACTAGAGACTCAGCCTGAGTTGCCACACCTATTTACACGCCATGGTAGTTGGGCACACACATCTTCCCCTCCAAAGGGCTCTTTCCTTGAGTTGCTTATACCTTTGTATCTGAGAGCAGGATTCTGCATGATGAAGGCAATGATCATAACTTTGCTCCTTCTCATTGTTTCTAATTAACTTATTTAAAGTTTGCATCTTCGTGAAAGCTAACTGAAGATACAGTTTGAAAGGAAAAATGAGACACAGGTTTGGGGACCAAGGACCCATCAACGGTGTGACTTTAGCAAGAGATGCCCACTGTTGTTATTGCCATTAATCAGATGTATGAATTTTCTTTGGGGATTGCAATAGGGAACATTGTAGGGAAAATATCTTCAAGGAAAGATAGGACCATAAGTGATGGTGGTGAATAAGGAACAAGTGGAATTGACCCCTTCAGGGAAGGAAGCAAGGAGTCCCTTCCCAACGAATGTAGGTCATTTCTGTGTTGTTTCTCCTCTAATCTTTAAGATCAATTCTCCCCGTACTGCTAACTCTAGGATTTGATAAGAGCCACATCTTAGTGTTTATCTTAGCTTGCATAAGGGCATGTGTATGTACAGTGATATGTGTATTCCTGTGGTTTTTCTAATAGCAGAAACTGAATTCACACAGAATTAGCATGTTCTTGGGTGATATGGATCATGTGACAGAACTACAGACATAACTCCAATGGGAGAAATCTTTTTAAAAAATCATGAAAAAATTGAACACTAGTGCTTTAGTATGCATCTCCCAATAAGGTCTGCCTTAGTACAGAACTAAGCACTTGTTTGTATGTGTACATCAGTTGTGGGAGATAATGAACAGACAGGTTGATTGTCCTGTTCTCATTCTGAATTATCTCCTATGGCAATGAAGAGCCCTTTGGCCTAGTCAGAGGAATTAATAAACCCAGATAGGAATGTATTTCCATCCTCCTAGCCTACAGATATAAGACGTTAAAATGTGAGTTGACTCAATTTAAGCCCAGTAGTGTCAGTTCTCCTTATCTCAGCCCAAATAGGAATGGAATTAAGAAATATCCCAGATGTGATGCTTATCCAAGTATGTGGGGGTGGGAGGAATTGATACTGAGGAGATGGGACTGGAGTAAGGAATGTATTTTGAGAGTGCCCCTGTTTATTTCTACTGTGCTTTATAGTGAATGTTGTAACATTTAAAAAATGCTTTTGCCATAGCTCTTTGGGACTTGGTGTTAAAGGAGCCAGTGGTCTCTCTTGGGTAGTTTACTAGAATGCGTTATTGGGACCCACAGCTCTGTGGGACTACATCACTTGCAAATGACACAACTTCAAAAGTAACACAACGAAAAACCACTTCACTGAGGAGGTTTCTTCATGTTGCCACTCCTATTTAAATACAAACTCTGGCAGAGAGCATGTTTTTTGTTCTATACAAAACCTAGCACACTGTGGATATTCATATTTTAATTTGTTAGGTGACTTATGTGTTCTTGGTAACTAAACTCAAATATGTCTTTTCCTGTATCAGTGTTGCTGATGGCTTTAATGAATATCAAAATTTTCCTGTTGCTTCTGTGAGCCACTACAGGTGTCAGCTTGGGAGTGGCCATGACCTAATTGTATTTCACCTCCTTTTCCTTCTCTGCTCTTGCCCCAACCCAACCTGTTCTTGCTGCGGCTTTTGGCTTCTTAGAGGTGAAGGGATTGAGAAAAGTCTTCTAAAGTGCCCAGCCATCTCTCCATACATGTACAATCCAGCTGGGAAGTTAAAAGGGCAAGGGCCACACCAGTTCTGTCTCCTTTTTCTGCCAATTGCTGCCCATTTGCTGTGCTGAACTTTATGTAGAAGTTATGCATCAGCTCTATTTGCTGATGCTTTTTGCATGCCTTCTGCTCCCAAGTCCCTGGATGCTTCTGCACATACTCTGAACACTTTGTGCCTGTTTTCTATGGTTGTAGAGAGTGAATGAACAAGTAAGCAGTTTTCCTTATGGTATTGGTCACAGTTATCATAGTGTCTATCTACATTGTATTATTCTAATAGTCTTCTATAATTAAAAGTATAATTTTTAAAATCAAAAAAACTGAGAATTATTGATGGTTGTAGAGAGTGAATGAACAAGTAAGCAGTTTTCCTTATGGTATTGGTCACAGTTATCCTAGTGTCTATCTACATTGTATTATTCTAATAGTCTTCTATAATTAAAAGTATAATTTTTAAAATCAAAAAAACTGAGAATTATTTTAGTAATCCAGCACCAATTCATATAACAACTTTTTATCAGATTCATGAAAATTGGGCACAATTGTCCTTACATTGATGCATTTTGTACACATATACAGATATTTTGTACAGATGTTGTGGATATTTGGGAGAACAGTGTCTTGAGCCTTCTGTATATTGCCATAATCAGGGAAGATGCAAAAACCTGTTCAGTTTCCTATGAAGGTTATGCTGGTGGCAGAAGCAACATGGAAATACTTGGTATGAATGACTCATTAGCTTTGGAGTAGGGGAAAAAAATCTAACAGGAAAAAAAGGCTTTGTTGCTTTAAGGAGATATTTTGGGGCATACATTAAGAATACTAAAACGATTTCTACTGCACTAGGATTGGGTTCCCAGAACAGAGATACCTCTTAGAAACAATCAAAGGTTTTCTATTCATGATATAGTTGCACAGTCTGCCCAAGGCAGGGATTTTGTATCACCAGGATGTGACCACAATTTTCAAAGTACTTATAAGTAATTTTCTCTTATGAAATCTTTTCTTTAAATGGAGAGCCATCATAGGCAGAGGTAAGGGGGTGAAAGTTTTATATTGAGGAAAATTATAAATGTGAAGGAAATTTTTGAATTAGCCCTATAGCCAAGACTCAGGGGAAAAAAATGTTTTATCAAAACACTTCTGGGCTGGCCCGTGGCTCACTCGGGAGAGTGCGGTGCTGATAACACCAAGGCCCCGGGTTCGGATCCCATATAGGGATGGCCGGTTTGCTCACTGGCTGAGCGTGGTGCTGACAACACCCAGCCAAGGGTTGAGATCCCCTTACCGGTCACCTTTTTTTTTTTTAAAAAGATGACCGGTAAGGGGATCTCAACCCTTGGCTGGGTGTTGTCAGCACCACGCTCAGCCAGTGAGCAAACCGGCCATCCCTATATGGGATCCGAACCCGTGGCCTTGGTGTTATCAGCACCGCACTCTCCCGAGTGAGCCACAGGCCGGCCCAAGGAAAATGTTAATTAACCTGAAGAAGTGTAGCTCAAGAGCCTCTTCTCTAAAGGTATTTGATATGTTAATCTTTTGCCATTATTATTATTATTGAGCAAATTTCTTTCTGCCTGAACTGTTTTCTGGGAGGTTAGAGGCAGGTTAAGGCTGTGTCTCTACGCCGTTAGGACACCATTGAGTGCACTGAAATGATAATTTGTCAAATGGTTCCCCAGTGCTTCAGAAGTTAGTATTGCTCCCAAAGGAGTTCCTATGCCCTTGGAGAAATGAACTCTTTGGAAGCGTTTGTTAGATACCCAAGTCTGTGGTAGAGTAGCAGACTTAGGCTTATTTTTGGGAAATTTCAAGATAGAAAAGACTGGTAAGATCATTAGTGAAAATAACTGAGTAAAATTAATGGAAGAAAATTACCCTGTAATGACCTAAAATGGTTTTGTGGGAAATCCCATTGTATTATGTTTTCCTAAATGCTTTGTTTTCAAAGTTTGCATCATTTTCAGCTTCTCCAAAGGCGGTTTTGTTTTATTTTATTTTTCCTTCTGGGAGAGATTGCAGCTGATGACACCAAAGTCACACCAGCCCCTGCAACTGCTTTCTGGACAGCTCCACTTGAAAATTACCCAGGCACCTTGAAATCAAACCCCAAACCAACTCAACTTGCTACTTTTTTTTCTTTAAAGCCTACAGCACCCAGTAATCCCAGGCAGTCTCACAGCAAAGTACTAACCAGGCCCAACCCTACTTAACTTCCGAGATCAGACAAGATCAGGCACATTCAGGGTGGTATGGGGATAGACTCCAATTGCCTCTTTCTTCAACCACTCCCCACCTGTTTCTCCTACCTCAGTCATTGCCTAGTTATCCCAGCTAGAAACTTGCTTATCATTCTCAACTCTTGCTTCTTTAGTAACCGTCCCCAAATCAGTAATGAATATTAATAATATAAATAGCCATTCAGTCATATCTTTTCCACCTCCTAAATATTTCTTAAATCCATCTACTTCTCTCTACTGTCACCACTTACCATGTGACTTTGGGCAATTACTAAGCTTTGCTCTTCCTTGTATTCCCCAATGGGGTTAATTATATCTACTTCATAGAGTTGCAAAGAGTAAATGAGATAACAGAGCTCAAAATATTAGCAGCAATTATTCAGACCATCACTGAGCCACATCTTACTCACTGAAATGACCTCCTAATGAGTCTACTCTTTTCTACTTGGATACCCTTCAGTCTACTCTTTCTTTCTGCAGCTAGAATGATCTTTGTGAAAGGCAAATCCCTTCATTCCATTCTTCCGTGTAAAACCCTTGGATGCTTCCCATTGCTAGGAGCATACATTGAAACTCTTTGCATGTAACTTTTGAGGAGTTCATTCACGATCTGGCCTCTGCTGCCCTCCCCAACTCTGGTTCTCTCCACTTTCACTGCACTTGCAACACTCCAAGCTACATCTCTTTCTCTCCACTCTTCTGGCCAGCTCCTACTCATACTTCAGGTCCCAAGCTGGACTTGTTCTAGGAAACCTTTTCTGATCTCACAAGACTGGATCAGGTGTTTCTTTTCTGCTTTCCCTGGGCTTATCTCAATCAAAGCACTTTATCCCAATTTTGTAGTTGGCTGTTTACTTTCTTGTCTCCTCCATTAAACTTTGATATCCCTGAAGAAGTCACTGTGTCTTGCTCCCTATTGTATCTTCAACTCTAGCAAATGTTTGACCTAGAGTAGGCAGGCAACAAATATTTCCTGAATAAATAAGAGGAGAATATGTATAAACTTCATTCCATTCGGCAGGGCTGATGACTTTATTTCTGATTTGTCACCATACCAAGCTAGTCCTAAAAAAAATTTCTTTTCTTTTCCTTTTTTTTTTTTTTTGGCAGCTGGTCAATTTGGGGATCCGAAACCTTGACCTTAATGTTATAACACTACAATCTAGCCAACTGAGCTAACTGGCCAGCCCATTAAAAAAACAAAACAAAAAACCCCCTTAAATTCTGTCATTGGTGTATCTGGTGGGTTTTTTTTTTTTTTTTTTTTTTTGGCAGCTGGTCAATTTGGGGATCCGAAACCTTGACCTTAATGTTATAACACTACAATCTAGCCAACTGAGCTAACTGGCCAGCCCATTAAAAAAACAAAACAAAAAACCCCCTTAAATTCTGTCATTGGTGTATCTGGTGGGGACTTATGCAAGAGGAAGAAGACTCCCAGAGGTGATGTCATCCATCTAAGACACCTCCAGGTGAAATAAAGACAGACCTGCCCCTGGCTGCTCCTCTACTTAACCCTCCAAAGACAGCAATGATTCATTCTTACCTAGGAATAGACTTTTTCTATGGCAACTTTGAAATGTGTTGCAAGGCAGGCCCCCAATACAGAGAGCTTGGGCAGGATTATAAACTCCCGGTTCTCAGTTTGGCATTTGGTTAATCTCTGAATTCTCCAACCAAGTACATAAACCAATGGTTGTTAACATTTGGGGGAGGACCCAGATTCCTTTGAGAATCTAATGAAAGTTTTGGATCATTCGTTATTTTTATTGAGTTCTGGGAGCTCTTTGTATATTTTGGATATGAGTCCTTTATCAGATAAATAATTTACAACTATTTCTCCCACTCTTTGGCCTATCTTTTCATTCTCTTAATAGTGTCTTCCAAGGAACCAAAGTCTCAAATTTTGTTTAAGTCCCATTTTCTTTTTATTTATTTATTTTATTTATTTATTTTTTTTCCTTTTTGTCTTTTTTCGTGTCCGGCAACGGATCGCAACCCTCAGTGTCACGCCCGCACCGGACCGGGACTGGCAACGGGATTGCAACCCTCGGTGCTGCGCCCGCACCTCACTCAGCCAGTGAGCGGAACCGGTCTGTATGTGGGATCCGAACCCTCAGCGGGAGCGCCGCCGCGCTCCCAAGTGGCGCACTGTAGCAGTGCACCACCGGGCCGGCCCCTAAGTCCCATTTTCTGATAGGATTTTTACTCACAGTTTCCTTTTCTAAATCTCTGCCTCAATAGCTCTTGAGGCATAAAACTTAAATCTTTGGTTTTTAGGCAAGGGAGTCAAGAAGATGCTTTCTGAACTTCATTCTTGTTTGGTTATATCCACCCCTTATTGAAGTTGGGGTTTTGTCCCAGGTAGCACTGCCATTAGACCAGGGCAATGGAACTGCCTCCTTGGGCTCTGATTTGGCCCTCCTCCAGTTGCACCTTTCCCCATGGGACCAAGGAAACGTGCCCATGCAGAGCTTACCCTTCCCCCTCCTATATCACAAACTCCAGGTGTCCAGGACTTTAGAATTCTTTGCCCAAACAAACAGTTTACTTCCAAGCCTCTTTCCCATGTTCGTTCATTTCAGGGCAGATCAAGATGCCTTTGTGTATCCCTAGTGTTGTCAACCAGTACCCAAGGGGAGACAATGGGGAATTGAAGAAACACACTTATGGGATCAGGAGGGCTACACAGGCTGATGACCTGTAAAGCATCTTAGTTTATTTTAGGTTCTTTATTATAAGCCAGTAAAAATAACAAATTGTACTGATTAAGTCAATTATGTCTGGTACAAAGCTATTTATAGAACATTCACTGCTGCCACAGTGCTTGAAGGTTCATGGCTAACTGTTTATCAGCCAAATAAGAGCATAAGCTCCTCATTTACAAAGCTCTCAGGGTCCCGGGTTCAATCAAAGGTCAGACCTCAAGGAGAGGGAGAAGGGGGAAGCAGGCAAAACCGGAAGCCAGCCTTGCTGGCCTACTCCCTAGAACAGCAAGGACTCTGTCAGCTTGCTATTCAATATCCTACACCCTAGGGTATGGGGGGCATGGACAGAGCTTGGACCTGCAGGTTGGGTTGCCACATATGGGGCATGAGCATCCTCCTGGAATGGGACAGAACCAGAATAGGAAAAGAAGGGAGCTGGCTTCCATCTGTGCTCTTGCTTTAGTCCTGGTTTCTAGGTATACTATCAAACACTTTCATGAGTGATTTATGATAAAGAGTC